TCCCCAACAAGGCAAGGGTAAGAACCGAGAGAAGAATCCGGTGGTAGAAGCTGCATGGATGAAATGGAGGGAGTCCACCGGAATCCTCAGGGATCGAAGATGCTCCAGAACGCTCGAAGGGAAGGTGTACCTAGCAGTACTCGGGCCTACGATGCTATACGGCAGCGAGTGCGGGCCCCTGAACAAGAACCACGAAAGGCAGCTTCACTCCGCTGAGATGAGTATGCTGAGGTGGGCCTGCGTACACGGCTGGACAGGGTCAGGAACGAGGATGTCAGGACAGTCATGCAGACTGCTCCTGTCTAGCTGAAGATGCGAGAGCAGCGCCCCCGATGGTATGGGCGCGTGCTCAGGAGGCCACAGGATCATCCGACCAAGAAAGCGATTGGCTTCGAAGTGCAAGGTAAGCGACCGCTAGCCCCAAAGAAGAGGTGGAGAGACGTGATCAAGAAGGATCTAAGTGAATTCATGGCCACAGCAGAGGACGTCCTGGGCAAATTAAAGTGGCGACGACTGTTAAAGACAGCGGACTCTGCGAATGCGCGGGACTAAGGCTAGGGAGAAGATTAAGAAGAAGAAGAATTTTCACAGATTTGACTGCGAGAACCTAATTGCAACCACAGATGTCCTAGTGCTCTTGCGTTCACATCCCTTGTAACTCTCCTTGATTTACCGCCTTTGGAATGGTGAGCAGGTGTGGGGGGGGGGCAGAGTGAGTAAAGGAGAGGTACAAGAGTTGCTCAAAGGAATTGTGAAAAGCCTACATGTCTGGCTCGCGCCGATTGGTGAAAGTGCCGATAAAAATGGGGGCTCCAAAGATTTTCTGGGACTGACTAGTAAGCTATGTAATCGTTGCTACTAACCATATTGGTTCCTGTTTTTGCAAGAAAATTTACACTGTGCATTGTTGCTCTTTTCACGTACGCCTTCTGAAGACGTAGCAAACTTGTACCCATACTTATGAAAACAAGAAAGCCACCATGACTCAATGACAGCACAACAACAATCATACACTGGTGTGCAAAATCTAGGGACGAACGTAGCTTTTCCAACGGCGTAACACTGGCGCGTAACATGACCATATGAAACCTGACCACACGTACAAAGAGCTGCCACAGGGAACTAAACAAAGCAGTGAAGGGGAGCCGTTGAACAGTCCACAAAGCTGAGAAAAGGTCTCAATACTTCATCTGTCTCGTCCTTAAGTTTTGCACACCAAAGTACTATACCTCAGTCGAAGAGCGGTTGCAGAAGTGAATTAATGAAACCGAAAAACTCGCCAAGAAACGCTCTTTTAACCTATATTTGCAGGCAGCTAATAGTAGAGAAGATTCGTGTTTCGCAATTTAATGGCAGCTTTTTTCTCATTCCTTCCTTAAAAGCGAGCTACTTAGCAACCACTCGTTCTCGTGAACCGTAGCTTGTAGAATTCATCTACAACTCCGCCGACCTCCTAAGTGCTGCTTTTCGACAGTAGGAAAGGAGGATTTCGTCATCGGGGATGACTGTATTTATCATGTTCTCACATGATAGACAATAACATGTTATCGTACAGGCATCGTTGTTTACGATGCCATCCTAGGATATCTCAGTCCAGGTTCAGTCTCAGTCCAAGAGTTGCGGCTTTCGGGAATCTGCTTCCCGAAAATTCCTAATTATTCGACTCGCTGGATTTCCGTTAATAAGGATCTCTACAGCCTGGTATTAGCATTAATTCACTGAACTATAGAGTCACAGATAGCAGAATAAAACCTTGTTAGAGGTCACAGCACAGGTACGATATTGCAGAAATGATACCTTATCATTCGGGCACTAGAAGATCCTGGATTACAGGACTCTATCAAAAGTGTCGAGGTGATTCTACTCGTAGGTCTGACGAGTTAAGTCGATTCTATCATCTGTTGGATCTTGAGGTGATTTAAACATACACCTTTATCTTTTCAAGTGTGTGCTTACATCTATTCACATTTAGATCAGATAACTCTCTGGTCGGTTTTTAAATATCTACGGTATTTCGTCATCGTCTCACTTTAGAATTTGTACAGTGGGGAACATTATTTGTTGGATGTTGAATGGAAGCTCTATTCTTTTTTGAAGTTTTTATCCTCCTTGGTTGAGTGGTGCTTATTATCAGATCCATCATGGAGGAGGACGAACCCATGGATGTGGAGCATCATATAGAACCCACCCCTCGCTCACTAGGAGACTCGGATATCGCGGCTATCATAGCCGCGATCAAAAGCGATCAGCCATCGACATCAACTCCGACGACAGCTTCGACCCCTTCCTTTGTACGTAGAGGCTATGCATCGCAATATGACTTCAATATCACAGTATTACAAAATCTGGAAAGGATCAGTAGGGATGGAATGAAGAAGGAAGAGGAGGAGCATTCCAAGCGATCTTGAATTCGATAAAAGTGAGGAATGAAACGTTAAAAATCGCGGACAAGCACCCTGGGGTATTTTCTTTTATCGACAGCAAGAAACAGGCAGAGGCGATGAAGCCAACTGATAAATTCCTCTCGGAATTCCTAGAGAAAATGCAAAAGGAAGAGGAAATTATCAAAAAGAAGAGATCACCTTCTCCGATGGCTGGAAGCCGGCCCTTTCGAGGGAGGGATTCGGCCTGGCGACCCGATTCCCGCACGTCCAGCTATGCGCCAAGATTCAAGCAGTACCAGCTCATGGAACGGATGGAAAGGAACGGATATAGACGTAATTTCGCGCCTTACTCGCCTTACCAAAAGTTCTACCGTAGGGAGAAGCCGGAAAGACTAAAGAGCCCCTGCTTTCTATGCGGACACGAGGGCCACTGGAGGGATGAATGCCCAAACAGGAAATGGTGAGTATTAACCATTCTCAAGTCACGACCACATCTCTAGGTGGACGGCTCTCGAGCCGAACGCATTGGTTCTCGATACCATAGTTAGTGGATACACGATCCCATTCGATGAAGCTCCTGAGCCTCCACCAAGAGTTGGTAATCGCAAGTCGGCTCTGGATAATGCCAAGTTCGTTAATGACACTGTTTCAGAGTTAGTGTCGACAGGAGCGGTTAAAGAGGTAGCACAGAGTCAAGCTGTCGACCTATTCATTCATCCACTCAGTGTGGCAGAAAGTAAGAAATTGAGACTTGTTTGGAATCTTTCTACTCTCAATAAATACGCAACAAAGAAACACGTAAAGTTTGATGACATGGACAAAATAAGACATCTTTTGCCTATAGAGGGGTCATGACAACATCCGACCTTAAAAGTGGATACCACCATATACTGGTTGCGCAGCGTAGCCAACGTTTTCTGGGTTTTGAATGGGATGAAAGAGTCTACAAATACACTGTTCTTCCGTTCGGCCTTACGTCAGCTCCCCACATTTTCACTAAAATACTCAGACCTTTGATTAGAAAGTGGAGAGGGGAAGGCAAAGGAGTAGCAACGTATCTTGATGATGGTTTGATATGGGCTACTTCTAGAATCGAATGCGAGAGAGTATCAAGTGGCATTCGAGATGATCTCAAAATGTTCGGATGGTTTGAGGCAACAGAAAAATGCAAGTGGCTGCCATGTTGCATAACAAAATGGTTAGGATTTGATATAGATTTGAACATTTTCGAGATCTCGATCTCGTCGGAAAGATTAGAGAGGGCAATTACCGTCTTGAAGCGCATGCTTCAGGAAAAAGCACCATCCTTACATCCAGGGATGAGAGGGATGGGACCTAGCTTGCTTCTGAGTATTGTGATTTCAGTGAGGGACGAAAGCAATCCAGGACGATGACTTCGCCTCGGTGGCAGAGGCACAATCTCGTGAGTGTTCTCTGAGCTACAGATGTCTTTTATCCGATAGGGAAAACGCGATATTGATTACTGGATGAATAGGCTGACCGGGAATAGCAGTTTCCTTTCCCTCCAGAGGAGACAGCAGACCCAATTTTATTATAGAAGTGGATGCATCCGCACATTCGGGGGGCGTAGTTAAAAAGGGATCGGAATACTCGGATATCAATGCCCATACACTTTACCGCGCGATTCGATGCTGTCGCCTCAAGCACGCACAGTAGAGAGCTTTATGCTATATATTTTGGTTTAAACTTTGTCCCGCGCTATCAGCCGAAGTACTGCTGAGAGAACAGGATAATCAAGGTGCATGCCAAAGTCACACGACATGATTCTCAGGGCACGATGCTTTTCAGTCAGGCAATATTTGGACAGACATTCCCTGTGGTTAGTACCTCCGCTAATTTCGTGCAAAAAGCTTTTCTTGGGCTCGAAAATTTGGCTTTTTTGGCATATTGGGATGTCCCTATGCCATCTCAAGCTTATTTTCTGGTTTTAAAACCCGACGGTAGAAAAATGGGCTAATCTTGTTCGAGATGGAGTCTTGTTCCCAGTAGGAGACCAAAATCTTTGGGCCGTGTTCGCGGTGTTTAATAGCCAGTTTTCAAAAACCAGATTCGTGTTCTTTGATTATTTTTCGACAGCATCCGCTACCGTGGAAGCACTAACTTTCTGGACTGTCGCCGGCTTGATGTCACAAAACCTCTTTCGGTGTCGAAAAGCGATTTATGCTGTTAGTGACGTAGGAACGAAAGTATAGTGTCCTTTTTCGACAGTAGGAAAGGAGGATTTCGTCATCGGATGACTGTATTTGCATCAGTGTTCTTTTTTTTTATTGTTATCACATGATAGACAATAACATGTTATCGTACAAGCATCGTTGTACGATGCCATCCTAGGATATCTCAGTCCAGGCTCAGTCTCAGTCCAAGAGTTGACGCCCGCCCACCAAACCCATTACTTTTCAGGACCATTGTGGAAGGAAGCAGATGATTTATGCGAGACTGCGGTGCAATGTAACCTGCCGCGAGTGGCACATGTCATAAGACACTTTCTCAACAGCCACCGCTCCAACGCCACCTTCAAAGCATATACACTCCAATGTAAGAAATTTGTCGAGTGGTGGGGATCGGAGAGAGTCAAGGAAGTACCGATCCCGAAAGCTAGAAACCTTTTCTAGCCAACTGCATTGAGAAGAACCAACACAGTGCCTTACCCATGATATCAGCTGCGCTCACTTTCTTTCTCGGGAAGCAGAAGGAAGCGGATAAGGAAGTTGAAAAGTCTTTGCTAGACAGTGCAACCAGGAACAGAACCCCAGTTAATCACAGAGTCAAAATTACAACAGCCGATTTCAGTACTATTGTACACCTCGGGACATTGTCAAAAGATCCCAAAGCATTCTCTACGGTGGCTCCTGTGTATACTGCTGTTCAGAGGTTTTTTGAGGTTCAACGAAGCACGAGTACTAAAAGTAGAGGACCTCACTATAGCATTGCATACTTATTCGGTATTCATAAGAAAATCGAAAACAGACCAAACGAACCAAGGGTCCACGGTTTCCTTCAAGATAGAAAAAGACTCCGAAGAGCACGCGGTTTTCCAAAAGCACACTAAATATGCAATACGGTTCGGCAACAATTACCTCTTTCCATCCCAATCCACAAAACTTCCGCTTAGTGCGCCTACTATCTCCAAGCGACTCCAGCAACTATTGCTTATAGCGGGTATGGAGCATAAAAATTACACTACCCATATTTTTCGGGGTGGGGCGGCTTCCACGGCTTTAGAACAAGGCTTCGATAGTACGCAAGTCATGCAAATGGGACGATGGAAATCCCACAAAGCTTTTCAGGCCTATATTCGTCCAACGCCAGTCAATTTGCAGCTATCGTAAGCAAGATGTTCCGATGGGGGAAGGGCGTTTTGAGACCTTTTTTGTATAAGTGGGTTGATACCTCCATCATTCAGGATTTTGATCTGACTATCCGGGACCAGCACCTCCAGTAATTGTTTTCTATGTAATGTAGCTTAATGTACAGTTTCTATGACATTTGCATTGCCTTGTTCATGTATGATCGCATATCACTTGTATCTTAGGCTAAGTGCCATCCATATGTATCACTTGTAACTTTGTATCTCAGGCTAATGGCCATCCAGTAAGGATAACTAAGGCTGTACTGTTGCCATATTATATGTATCTCAGGTTACAGTCACTATTAACGGCTGCATATCAGTACTTACTACTTGTGTACGTTTATCTACCATTCACATGCCGCTATATACTCGTGAGACAATAAAACCTTACACAACACAAAACCTCTTTTCCGGTGTCGAAAAGCGATTTATGCTGTAGTGACGTAGGAACGAAAGTATAACTGCTGATTTCTGTCAAAACAATCGTTACTGCATTCACCCGGCTCAATTCGCTATGAATGGATTCCGTTGTGTCACAGTCATACACTAACGATGTCGAAATGCTATTAGGTTAATCTGTTCCAGTTACTGATAAGCCATCGGCCACTAAATCATCGATTTGCAATGGATTTCGTGTAATATGTAGTCAGAAACAGGTTTGGAGGCGTTCCCTGCATTAGCCTGTAATGAATAATTGCACTCGAGCATGACTTTGGATGTTGTTGTTGGTCATCGAGTAACGAAAAGAGCAGAGGGATGTGCTGAGAACCCTAGTGGGAATTCTACACTTTCACAAGATTTTTGAGTTATTGACAATACTCTGCCCCAGGCGGGATCTGAGCACCACATCTAGCTCTCCACCACAAAAAGAACACTCTACATTCTACACGGGGATTGCAGAGACGCAGATAGACGGCCACTAAAATGTACTCAGGGGCACATTTTAGTAGCCCTCTACATGACCCTCTGCATCTCTGCAATCTCCATGCACTTTCTTCTTTCTCTGCAGGGTTCGCCGTCTAGGCAAGGTGCCACGTAATAAATTGGGCCACCTTATACATTGGTAACTTAAGAAGAAAGTGCATGGAGTAACTTAAGATGTTGCCTAGACCTTGCCCATTGCGGCAGGTTAGCGCGAGTGTCCTGTCTTTCCCAATGCTTTTTAGGTGCATACGAAGGCGACGTCAACGCGACTTAGTGGCCAACTATAGACTGGTCGTTTATGAGACTTTACTACCGTCCCAGACGCGTAAGACCAAAGATTGTGACGTCCAGTCCAACACTGCAACTTGAGAGGCAACTTTCAGAGTTGGTTCTTTTCTGCAAGCGATCCGTTTGCCGACACCTCTTACCAACGAACTGCTGTTGTAGTTCAATAATGTCGGCAAGCAGATGGGATCTCCAACACTGTGCGTAGAAAACATTACAAAGATCACTTCGTCCGAGCAGCGATCGTCAAAGAATTTTGAAGAAAGTCCAGCACAAGCCTCCAAGCCCCTCATGGGATGTTCTGTCCCGCCACTTGTTTTCGGCCGAACCGGCCCCACAGAATACCATCCGCTTCTGTTGCTGCTGATTCAACTGAAAGAGGGAGAGCTTGATGTTTCGGACTACTCGAAAACGGAAAACCTCCAGTCTTTTGTTTTGAAAGCTCGGGACCTCTATGCAAGGGCATTAACAAGTTACCTGCAGAAAGGCAGTATGTTGACGATGACGATGGGGCATATGACTGTAAATTGCTGGCTGGTCAAAGAAGAAATGCGGATTTGAAAAAAGAATCGACAAATGGGCAAAGACTTTCAGGACAAGCTAATAAATTTACTGAAATGATTTGGTTCCTTACTGGGATTTTTTAACAAAATGCATACGTAATAAAATCGTCATGGATGAACTTCGTCTTATCGGGAAACATAACCTAAACAAAGCCTTTTTTGTAGGAAGCTTTTTACCACAAGCGCACAATATGGACCAGTTTCTGCAAAGTTCTCCCCAGTAAATTTGAGCCGACCCTTTTTGCGAGACTCGGAGGGGCGAGTAGCTCGACGGGTCCATCATTGCACGATTTGCTGTTTCTTTCACCGCCCTCCACACCGTCGATGCGAGAAAACTTATGAGCAGACTCGCTCGAACTCCGTTTAGGCAAATGGAAGATGCGAAACAAGTTGTCCGATCCTACGTTCCGCTTGCGCATTCTGCTTCCCTGACCTACCAGATTTCTCTTTGTGACCGTATGGCTCCCATATCAATTGAGGATCTGTCCTAGAGGAATCGCGCTATCGAGGAAGAAGTAGTTCTACGACTGCTCAGACCTTCCCCGTGTTGGGCGATGGTCTGTGTTTTCTCCACCTCGGAGAGCTGAGAACTTAATGACCTTCAGTGATACGTTTCACAGATCTCATTGCTACATAGCTATTGCTTTCTAGGAGCCAAAAACTGGACTGGACAAACTATTTGGACGTCCAAAAACTTGAAGTGCGTCTATAACTATGAAACGACCTATATGTAAGCCAACTGCTAAAACATGATCCATTTTTCTTCAATTTCCTCAGAAGCCGTGCCACAAGAGCTTTCAAGTGCGCTGATTGCGATACTAACTAGCTCTTTTATCCTTTATCTCAAATATCATTAAGTGTGACTATAGGACAGTTGGGGTGCGCCTATATTTACGAAACGAACAATAGTAGGGTGAAGGGTAAATATAATATGTATCGTGAAAAGCTCACCAGCATCCTTTAAAAGCTCACAGCACAGATTCTTTACTTCACTGACAGAGTTTCAGTATTACAGAGGAAAGCTGAAGAATAGTGAAATGCTGTAAAAGAAGAATAGACTCAAAAGGACCCTAAGTTTGAGTGATGGCGACCTGGCGATGTTAAAGTGAAGTCGAGAAAAAATAAGCTAAAATTAAATAACTAAGAACTCTGTGAAGTTTTGCATCTCTCTAGAAACTTCTGATCTTCTTCATGGCAAGCGAAAACTCACTCGCCCAAATAAGGAGGCTCCACAAAGCCCTTGAAAACCTGGATTTTCCACTATGGTAACTGTTAAGGCGGTGAATTCAGGCCTGTTTTTGAGAAAAAGGCAAAACCTAATCTCCTATAGTTACGCTAGCTAATTGTTAGTAGAAATTAGGTTCATCCATCAAAAAGAAACAGGCCTTACCTAGAAGTTACTTACCCAAAAGAACAAGCCTTAGCTAGAACGAGCCTTCGAAAATTTAACTGGATAACTGTGAGATGGTAAGACTGTGAACTGTGCACAGACCATGTGTTCACATTGATTACTGCAATGTGCTGATTCTGGTCAAGATGCCACATATAGTAAATTTGGAATTTGCACAAAGTAATTAATGTCTTAGGGTGTTACCGGGCAAAAGGCTAGTTCTACAGGAGGTGACAGAAGGAACGCAGATGTTTGAAATGATCTTTCAAAACGAACACACTCTACACGAGCATTTGAGCGTGTTCTTGATGGTGTTTCTCAATACCATGAGCAGCGCTCTGTCTGACGTTGTGACAGTTTCTTCATGTGTTTATACGCAGTCGGAGGCATGGAGCATGCATTATCGCATAGCGGGAATAGCTGGCATTCTACGATGACGCAACAGGAAGGCAAACGGGTTGCCAAATGGGTGTAAAAGTTCGCGGCTCAACGCGAGTCCCCCTCGTTTTCTGGTTCTGAAAATTTCTCCCTGATCACTTCTCTGACAGCGGGACATCGAAGAAACTGCAATTCCCCAGAAGTTGTGCGTAACTTGTACGTTTGGAAGTAAACCTGTGATCATTTTCCAACGCTTTTAGCGGTATTTGTGTCATTACAGCCACTTCGACCCAAAATCTTTCCTGGCGAGAAGAATCCTCGTCAAAGGCTGTGATTACGCTGTCTTCGAAAAAAGGTGTCCTCCACTTGTTGCGGTTTGTTTTGTTTACTGAAGGAAAAATTCCTTGATCGCCTTCCTCACGAATTAGACGTCTTCATCGTAATAACAATCTTTTTAATATTCACCAGTCCGAAAAGCTGACCTTCAAAGATTTGATAACCACGATATCATAAGGACCAGCTGAGGGCCTACGAAAATCCTTCCCTATTCCCACGGTAAGTTCTCAAATGCCAGTACAGCTCTCGGATGTTTTTACATGAGTTGTGTGTGATCTGTGCTATTGAAATCTTGCACACTTGTATTCAAGCAGCGCAAAACCGGGGCAAACTCCGTCAACGTTGAGACCGGTCGTGATCGGATCTTTTTCTCCCTTACAGCTATCA